AAGCTCACTCCTGTGATGGACTACAATCTCACGTTTAGTTTACTAATTTCTATTGAGATTGTAGTCTTGGGAGCGAGCTTGGAGCGGTGGCTACTCTCAACACTCACAGGGACCATGGGGAACAAAAGTAACCACCCTCCAGAAGGAAGGACCGTGTCAGCACCAATTCAGAGATGATTTGAGGCTCTACAACTAATTGATACACAAATAAGATACATTGTTGTGTTGATAGTTAAGGTACTTGAATGTATTTTTAAGATTTAACTCCTGAGTTAAAATGGCCTGAAAATGTAAGTGGAACCCCAAGCAAACATCCAAATACATGTTTAAAATGTGTATATTCATTGTCTGTCATTTTGGCGAGCCATTCTTGTGATACACTCACCTATGCTACTCCATAAGATCCCTTTTCCGCTTTCTTTATTGCTTGCTAGCAGAGCTCCTCCTTTAATGAACAAAATTGATCAAAGGAGGTTTGTTCACTGTCCGATGTGGGGGCTGGAAGTAGAGAAGTAACATAGGAAGATTCATGGTCTAGCTTGTGTGGTGTCAAGTTCCACTTTATCTTTCCAAACAGGTCACCTACAACAAATGCATATTTTTTTTACTATACTGCAACACTCCAAGTGATTTAGTTGTACTATTCACATGTAAGCATTATACTGCAGGTATGCACACAGATGTGTAGTGTGGTGCTACCCATAGCAACTAATCATGTTAAAGTTAGCCTCCACGAAGGAGGCATGGAACCTCTCATCGCTGGACTGCCATCTGAAAATACATTTTCCCTAGCTTGTCATGCTGACCCAATAGCTGCCCTGATCTGCATGTATTTTTTCTGGGTCAGCACCTCAGAAACTATTGAAGCCAGGCAAGCAACAAATACTTTGATAGGCCAGCCCTGTGTTTTCTTGATACAAGTTTCCTTTAATTTTGTAACCTTCACTGGAGCATTGACATGTTGTTATGGCTGACTGATGACCTTGTCTCATTTTTATAAATGAGCTATAGTGTAAAACATCAAGCATGTGAAGAGCTATGGGCCTATGCTAGATTTGTGTTACTCATTTTGCCAGTTTTATATTAAAACCGTGTGCTGAAAAATAACGATTGTTGCTCTTGGAAGCCATTTCCCCTTTTGTAATGATGGCTCTCGTGCAGGAACTCAATAGCAGCTATGCGAAATTTGGACTCTGATACTGTGAACCACAGTTACCGAGGGATGAACATTTTTTTTCCCCAAAGAAACATTGATGAGTAATGTTTGAAAGAGTGAATATCGTTTGTTATGACCCTTTTTGTCCTTCGCTATGTAGCAGGTTTCTATAACTGTTTCTGTTTTTACTCTATAAACAGGTCCTCGGTATTGTTAGAGATGGGTATTGAACTTGTTGTATCAATCAATATCAGATTCCACATTTTACGCAGCCGCATCAATACAGTGCAGGAATAGTTTAGAGATGCTGGTTTAATCTCCTTCACATATTATCGGGTCTGGTGATTGTTTGTGATTGATCGTATTGATATGCATTTTTGTACCAGCGTTCTGTAGAACAGATGTAATCTGGTATTCCCTTCCCCAGTGTGCTTTCTGATCCAACATCGTCGTAGCTGTTGGCATTGATTGTAGACATTGTGAAGCCATTTGAAGGCTTTCACCTTGAGAAGTACAGTGCTGCCTTCTTAAAACAGAATATTTTGACGTCATCACTTCAGTCACAAATTAAGCATAAAAGAGAGGTTTTATTTTTCATTTAAGTATAGCAATTGTTTCTTATAAGTGCAATAACTGGACGCCTTCAGCTTTTTCGACTAAAAACATGCAAGACACTGGTTGGCCCGTGCTAATATTCAGAAAAGAGTTATTAAATCACAAATGAGCAAGTATGCCTCCAATATTAAAGGGACACTAAATTCAGTAGCTAAATCCATTCAAGTACCCTAACTTTTTTTTAAATCTATCTTATTTGTGCATCAGTAGTCCATGAACTCATTGCACTTCTGATCGCTTAGTCCAAACACAACTGGTGGTGACCAACGGATGGCGCCGTCACAATCCCGAAGTAAAGATGGGGCACCGGCACTCCAAATATTGAATAGTGTGTCTTTTATTGACGTAAATGCAGCATATCACATTAACATGCCTTTATGTGATATGCTGCATTTACGTCAATAGAAGACGCACTATTCACTATTTGGAGTGCCGTTGCCCCATCTTTACTTTATTTGTCTGGATTGAATGGAGTTTCAGGACCCCGAAACATTGGTTTGTTTATGGCCTTTTGTATGTTTTTTTTTTTTTTTTCTTGTCTGACTGTATATGTTTTGTGCCATTTCACTTTGGTATGCACATTACTACTTTCTCTGAGTGCTATTTGCACTGTGCATCTCTTATATTGTTTTGTATGCTCTGTACCACTATTTGTACCTTTTTGCATACTTTGATTATTACCTTATATTACAAAACTGTACTGTGCATTATATAGCACCCCTATGCTTTTGCTGCAGTATATACTTTATGTATGTAGGTGCGCGAGGCACCATCTTTAACTTCCGAGAAACAGTCTGGTTGACTTGGCCAACAGGCAGCTTCCTTTCCAGTTCCAAAGCACTGTCCTTCCCTTTTCTGAATCCACTATTTAGAGGAAACGTACCTTCTGACACCATGTTAATAGGGCTAAAATTAAAAAAAATATATGTATTATGTAGTCTTCTAATCTTCCACAATGCAGATCAGAATAAAGACATAGTAACTACAACAATGCTTCCTAGGTATTCAAGATAGCAGCAGACACATGGATAGATAGGCTTTTCATGTGTATAGTAAGTGTTGGTTTGGAACATGAGGACATTAGGCTGAATTCACAAAGGTTTAACACATGGATAATTTAGTCACGTGTAACCAATTTTCGAATCTCATTGGACAAAGCTCAAAATTACTGTCACCTTTTTTTTAAAATAAGTATCCATACCCTGGGGTTGGTTTTGTGAATAGAGCCTATTGCAGGTTGTCTTTGTTATCTGTTGAATTACAGTAATCACAGTTCATCTGTGAGGGCTTGTTCACACCAGTTACAGTGCGTTCCAGCATGGTTAGCTGCTGGAACACACTATCGCATACTAAATTTCCCCCCCTGCATTCTGGGGCAGGAGGGTGCTGCATGCACTATTTCTTTGCGATTGCCCCCTCACGCCACAAAGGGTTGGATAAATCCTAAAGGTAACCAGTGTTTTAAATCCATAACCTTTTGAAGCTTTTCTTGACATCAGTGAAACATCAGTATTTTAAGGGACTGCTGACTACAAGGTTGTGCTGACAGTTTCCTGAATTCTGCATTAAAGTGACTACTACCTATGGCATAGTTAAGTAGCTGGATTTATGTACTATGTAACCAAGCGATTGTTTCCCTATATTCTATATCTCATCCATGTCTGGGACTGGTGTATTTCATTTTGATCCAGTTAAATTGGAAAGCCACATGTATCTGTCAGTATCATAATTTCAAGGATATGTTGTATATTACATGTCATTATTTAATGTACAGTGTTCCAGTAGTAGGGCATGTCACCACAATGCTTTTTTTGCACGCACCTTTTTTACTGTATTCTTTCTCTACACTGCACATAGTGTTAGTGTGCAATATATTATACATAGAGCATTTAGGGTAAAAAAGCAGATTTGTCAGAAGGAGAAGAAAAAGCAGAGTCAGTGCTGTAGATCAGGTTCTCCAAGCAAAACACACACAAGTCAGCAGGTCTAGATGTATAATGGTTTAGGTTATGGTTATAAAGAGGGGCCTGTTTAGTCTCTACAGCCTGTGCCGATTTTTATGTATAGTTACACTGTTAGCATAAGAGTAGAATTTAGGGGAAAGGTTAAATGAGGTGAAACACAGGTTTATGCACTTGTATAGTGTAATCTATTGTGAAATAGCATTATTATATAGTTTATAGTTTCCAAGCGAAGCCTTCAAAATATGTTTATAAATTGTTTTACAAAGGCAGTTAATTACTGTTGTTTTTCTATCAATTACTCTACCTGTCAGCATTTTGTCTTTGCCCAGAGCAAATCTGTATCTAAACTCCCATGAATGTTAAGCACCTCTAACTGCCTCATGCAGCATTAGCCTGAAACTTTTATTCACATCTTGACTTTAGAGATGAATGTTATGAGCTGGTGCACAAGCTTCCATCCCCAACACATCACAACTGGCTGATATTTCTTATCCAAAAGTCATGATTTGCCCTTTGGCAAGCCCTGGGTTTTGGACCCTTGGTGCCTTTGAGGTAAGCAAATACCTGATGAAGGTGCTTGAGGTAAAGTGCGGGTATCCTTTAAGCAGAGTTAAAAAAAAAAAAAAAAAAACAGTTTTGTGTGCTGTAGATCATAGTTGGATGACTGTAGCTAATTACTAAATTGAAACCACCAGGCATTACTCTGATCACCCGCGTAGTGGCTGGTTCATATGAAAAAGGTGAAACAGCAGTGTGTTGATCAGTTTGCACTGCATACCTCCTAACTATCCCTGTTTTGGAGCCAAATCCCTCTGTCCCTCAGTCCTCCTCAATCGTCCATCTTTTTGGTCTGATATACAGATATCTATGAAAAGGTTCTTCTCAACTACCAAAAGTGTTATTATGCACTAAAACCTTTTACCTTATCTCCTAATTATCTTGTTTGCTATTTCAAAAAGCCAGTATAAAGGACAAATAATGGTAAAAAAACATCTATTTTGTGTTTAACCAATCATTAATTCCATCATAAACCATCTCATAAATTCTTAATGATCCTGAAGGCTTGGCAGGGGGCCATTACCTAAATGCATGGTGCTAGAAGGTGTCCTTTCTCCTCGCAGAAAGTTACGAGGTATGGTGTTACACTGTGTCCTGACACAAAACAAAGTTGGTTTGCCGTAATCCAGATGCTTTCCAATGTAAGGCTCTGCAATGTAGCGCAAAGTCTTGGCTACTGTATTCATTCAGTGACTTATGTCTTTCAGGTATTTTCTCTGCTTTGCATCGCAGACTGGATGGTGCATCACATCTGGAGGAAGGGGAAGGACCCAGACAGTTTTTCCATTCCTTACCTCACAGCTTTGGGAGACCTTTTAGGAACTGCTTTGCTTGCTGTTGGCTTCCATATTCTGTGGCTTATCGGGGATAGAGATGGAGATGTTGGAGACTAGCCCAAGGTTTGAAAATCCAGCTGCCTCTACCTGATTCTGGGAAACATTTCTAAAAGTAACTGGGGTAAAAAGATTTCCACAGGATCCAGTTAAACAAGAAAACAATCGTTTTTTATTCTGGGTTTTAAAACTGTGAACGTTTAAATTTTCTACAAATTTCAAATGATCAGTAGTATACAATTTCCCTTATCAGTAGGTGGGGGCTCTGCTACAAGCACTTTACATTTTATGTATGCATGTTCTATGGCTTTATTTTTGAGTTTTATTTAACCTACAGAGCTGATTCCAAGGCGTTGTCTATTCTCGTGGGCCAGGTGGACATCATGCTGATGTTCTAGCTAAATTGTTGGTATCCACGATAAGGTTCCTAAATTTATTTTTACATATATGACATTCATTTTCTGTTTTGAACTTTGCATTCAGTAATGTATTACACAATTATTCTTATTTAGGGAGATTTCTGGATATTTTAACATAAAATGAATTGCTAAAGTTCATACTAACTTAACAATTTATTGTACAGGTTAGCATTACTGAAGGAATGTTAAAGCTGAACTCCAGCCAAATAAATAGTAGAAATACATAAATGTGGGCTGTCATACCTGCCAAAGCATCTGTAATTTGGCTACTTTTGTGATCATCTTTCTTACCCAAGCCAGGCAGAATAGCTAGACTGGTGACATCACTTTTCTCCACTGCACTTAAGCAAGTTTGGTCACCAACCACATACGGACCAGGGTGGTCACTTTGATTTGTCAACCTGTCATCAATCTAACTAGTGTTAGACTGTCAACATTGTTGAGTACAGTATAACCTGACTGGCTCGGTGAGACTCCCGCCTTCTTCCAGTCAGCCAGAGTGCTGTTGTGCAGGTGGTTACAGACAATAAATAGAAAAACAGGTTCAAATATTTATATTAGCTGTATTTAAAATATATTTCATGATTTGTTGTATTGATTGAGTTCGACTAAACAACAGTCTTTTTTTTCTTTTTGGAGTTCAACTTTCGTGATAAGAAAGTGTACTAGTAGGTACATTTTTTTAAAGGGGTTTTCTAGGTTTTTACTGCTTTTGTTAACTGTAATGCACTTTTGTTAAAACTAAAACAAAGATATTGTACCATAAATAAGTAAGCTTCTATTGCTGACCTCTTCTTAAAATGCTAGTTGCCTGCCTGTCATATGGCTGCAATGGCTTGGTTACATTCTGACCTGTACTAAATATGTATATCTGGTGTTCTAACGCTACTGGCTGCCTACTTCTTCCACGTCTGTAACTCAGAGTATTAAAGCCAGAGACATCCAGACAACTAGCTTTTTAAAAGAACACTGGCACCCTATATATTTCTGAGTGCAGGTTTCCTTAAGGCCTAACTCCATCCCAAACCATAAAAATTGTCTGGAATAGGAAAGAGCCTAAATGTCTGGTGTTATATCTCCATTAGGCAGCTCTTCATTTACTTCCTTTCTCTGTGACACCAAAAAGATGGTACAGACGTCAATAAAACATTGTCAAAGATTGTAATCCTTCCCCACTCTATTAAAAATGTGTTTGTCTGTGCCTCCATTTGAAGAGATTTCCCATCACTTTATGTCCTGACAATTGCACTTTTTAGTTGGAGCTTTCAGAAGAACACCATATGTACCTACCCAAATATAAATTGGTAATATCATCACAAATTTGGAATAATTAATTAGAGTGATTGTGCAGAATGGAGGAGCATTAATATAATGCTCCAGTGGGCCTCTGTGCAAGGCATGAGGGGACAGCACCAAGGCAAATCATTCGCCATTCCAAGCAGCTAATGTTCTAATAATCTTATTCAACAAACAATGCAACTGTGCTAAAATCCAATTGTTCACCTCATCTGCTCCACCGATCCCAGAGCTCATCCCAGGGTCACTGGAAGTGTGCTTCTGAAGCCTGCGTGTGTACCTTCCTTTCTATCTGCTTTTTGTATGACCAGTCACTTTAAAGGAACCTGAATGGTAGATGTGCAAACTCCTTTTGTACTGGCATTTGTATTACAGTAACAATGGTATGGACTCTGGTTTTAAACTAGCAAAAAAGGTGTTCCTTTAGACTTTCTGCATGTGACAGTACAAGGTCCTGCCAGCAATGGGTGTGTTTGATCACCAGGTTATAGAATTAAATAAAGGTATAGTAAATGTATGGATGAAAAATGCACTGGGAAGGTAGGCTTTGATACCTGTACGCATCTCAAGATACGTTTCTAGTATGTCCCTATAGCTCTAAATGGACACATTGGTGATGTATCGCCTGCTGAGTGGTGGAACCTCACCATGCAGTGGTGAGAGACGCAGGCCTACAATAAAACCAGAAGATTCCACTTGTGCCTCCAGTTCTGCAAGACTGAAGATTGGCTGTAAGGGAGGTAGTACTGGTGGGTAATATACATTGCACTTCCGTGCAATAACGTGCCGTGTTTTTTTAGGTCACCATAGGATCTCTTTAATTTTGAGTGTTGACTGGAGTACATTTTTAAGGGCTTGTTCACGCCATTTCTGTTGAGTTTCATTCCTTTGCACACCACCACACATGTATGGTATGAACAGGGTGCAGTGAACACAATTGTTTTCAATGTGACCAGTTTGAATGGACATTGTATAAAGAAGCTCTAAGTCTACTGTGGGGGCATCAGAGAAGAGTCTTGTGACTCTGTATATCTCAGGTAACATTCAGCTATACTAGCTCCTTCTACAGGCTCTACTATTGGGCTGTGCTTTATATGCAGAAGTATTATTATTTTTATACACTTTATTTTGCGCCAAGAGTTTGTGCAACGCTTTACACAATGGCGGAGACAGTACAGTTACAATACAATTTCAGTACAATAGTGTTATGAGGGCCCTGCTCATGACAGCTTACAATCTAGCAGGAGGGGCGAGTGATACAAAAGGTAATAATTGTTTACATTGAGTTAGTGGAAGAAGTGAAAGGACAGTACCACAGCTACCATTTTACTGTAGATGGCAAGCTGCTGTCAGTAGATCATTCTTCTTAAACGTTTTCAGCAATCACATATTGTTAGAGGTACAGTGTGTGGGGCTTGCACAAAAGGGTGTCCTCAATCACCTGTGCCTAATAAAGCCCCAACCAAAGACAACAAAAAAACAGGAAATATGCCCTGAAATTCATAAAGAGTGTCATGGATACTATTTAGAAGTCGGGGTAATGTGACAAATGGCTCAGCTTGTGACAGATTAAAGTCCATGTCTGTATACTAGTTGTATATGAATCTGTACCAACTCTGACAGATCTGTCACACGCATCTCTCCTGTGAAATGGAGTTTTACAGACAGGGGATCTGTTTGGAAAAGTTGGGAGAGTAATGGAAATGTATCAAATATCATTTCCAGAACTTAAAGACAAATTTTGTTGCATGAAATGTCCCAAAGATGCAACGCAATAATTACACGTGCGACACATTTAACACTTTACTCCAACCTTCACATTCCTTATTACCGGTATGGTAGTATTTTTTTAATTAATTTGTTTCAACAATGGTGCCACACACATATAAGAGTACTTATATTTGTTGCACCAATTGTTACTAAGAATGAAAAAGTCACAGGCTTTTCATGAATTTGGCTTCAAACTACATACGCACCGCCAGAAATGTGTCACAAATGCTTTATTGAGTGTGTTATGCTTACTAAGATTTGAAATGCCAGATGAACCTTTTCTAAAACCTAGAAAATCCCTTCTATTAGCAAAGTTCATATATGAAAGATAGATTATTTATATATATATATATATACACATACACTCTGAAAATGCAACTGTTGTACATTTCTTTCAAAAGTGCCTCAAAGGCCAAAGACGACCTATGTAAACTATTTAGCAACTGTGCCATGTGTTCTTTATACCTATTCATAAAAATGCAGGTGCCATTTTGGATGGTATTACTAAAACGGATGCTATAGATATGTGTATACAATGGATATTACTGTCACATGCCACTGTAATACTACTTACTATGGTACAAACTGTTTATGTTAAGAAAATGGTGTTTATTTTGTGCTAAAATTTTTTTATCTTGGATGGACCAAGTAATGATATTTCACTCCTAGTGGATACAGGAGCGGAACTGTGTGTTTTCTTGCATTCCTCATCACCAGTGAGAATATGGTTTATGTTTACTGTCTTAACACACTTTAATGGGAATGTTCAAGAAATGGATACATAAAGCATATGTATTATGTGGACACACAATTTACATGCCACCTATCGTTGTCTCGATCATTTGCCAATTATTTTATTTATGTTTTACCAAATGGGTGATACTTCTAGTAATTGTTGGGGTGGAATAAACACATGTAAATATTAAATACTAGGCAGGGCATTGAAGGCAGTGGTGCCTATTTCTGCCAATAAAATTTTACCAGAGATGCTTTGAATATATGGTGTCTGTTTTTATTTTGTGGTCCAAATATGTATAAAATCACACAGCAGAGATATTTTGTTACTGACAATGTTATATCACCTCCACAATGTCTAAGCTTCTGCACACATCATTTTATACTGTATTATTATTATTAGAGACTTGAGGTAATTGGACTGTCCTGATGGCAACATTTCAAATGGCGTGCAATACAAACTCCCTATGAAGAGAGGGGGTCCAGGCAAATGCCTAGTCCTAAACCACCGATACACAGTAAAATATTAAAGCCCAACTCCAGACAAAGCAAAAACAATTGGGGCTAGAACAGAGAACAGGTAGCCTCTTGTGGTTGTGCCCCAAAATCCCTTAGGCTTAGTTACCTTCCTTATGCTGCCACATAGTTTCTTTTCAGCATTTCTGTTAGTTGGTATTTGTTGTTATGAACCATCCCACACACTCCATCCTTTCAAGTCTGTTAGACAGCATGTGGTAACTGTGGAGCTTTGTGTTAAAAGTGGACCAATTCTTGAGGGAGCTGTTTGTGGAGAGTGCTGAATAAACTTTTTAACAATATTAAACATTGTCTGTCCTAACAAAGGGTTAAAGATCAAGAAGCATTTTATGTTAGAGAGGAAACTCCGTGTTCCTGTTCTATGGGGACAGCCAAAGTCACTTTGAAACCGTACAGAGAACTCACAATCTGCCCCAAGGCCTGCTCAACAGGGACATCTAAAAAGGTAAATATTTTTTGCATAGATTAAAAAATATAAACAGTTAACATACAACAAGCAAACCAACAAGAAAAAGAAACAACCAAAACCTCATGTCCTAATTAAAACATGCAATTTTAGATTACAAGAATAAAACCAAAAATGAAAAAGATTACACTGTCGGTGTTTACACACTTAAACACCCAATAGCAAACACTCCGGAATACAGAATACCATGACACAACATTAGTTGACAAGTGAAGCAAACGGGCATCAAAAGTTCCAAGAAGGTCCCAAGGGCAAACTAAAGTCCAGATCAAGATCACTCCTATAAGAAAGTTCCTATTCCATGCGTCAATAGGGCTCAAGTACGATACAGAAATGGAAAAAAAACAGGCAAAATTAGACTGAAACAGTATTCTCAGAATCAAGCCAGCTGACCAAGACACTCTATTAAACTTGAACCACTTACACCTTGCTTGCATATGTAGCCTTAAATAAGTGAAGAGAGGAATTTATCAGGGCTTTCCAGGCATGAAAGGTTGGCGGTACCAT